AACAAGCCCCCCCTCACCCCCAGGTCACACAGGCCGTCTTTTAATTTACTATTCGCTCAGAGTCCACTGGAAATTTTACATCTTGCCCTGGCTGGTTTCCTCAGTGGATAGAGCGTTGGCCTGAAGACTGAAGGGTCCCAGGGTTGATTCCTTCCAGTCAAGGGCACATGCCTGGAATTCGGGCATAATCCCCAGTAGGGCGCGTACAAGAGGCAGCTAATCAATGATTCTCTCTCATCACTGATGTTTCTCTCTTTACCTTCCTCTCTGAAGTCAATAAAAAAAATCTACAAAAATTCTCACATCTACTTTCCTGAGAGATATTGACATACCACCATATGTCATAAATTCTTTTTAAAATTTTATTTATTTTTTTTTACAGAGGGGAAGGAAGAGGCATAGAGAGTTAGAAACATCGACGAGAGAGAAACATCGATGAGAGAGAAACATCAACCAGCTGCCTCCTGCACACTCCTCACTGGGGATGTGCCCCCAACCAAGGTACATGCCCTTGACCGGGACCCTTGAGTCTGCAGGCCAATGCTCTATCCACTGAACCAAACTGGTCAGGGCCAGTATGTCATAAATTCTTCCGTGAAGATCTATCCCACACGTAACACCTTGGGAAGATGCGTTTAAAACCCACGGCGCCTTTGACAGTAACTGCAGCATCCTTTCTCTGGCTTTCTCCTCAACCTGGAGCATCTTCTCGCACGGGAACTCCTAGGTGCACCGGCTAATAACGCGCGTTTTTTTTCAATAGGAGGTTGATATATATATATATGTGATTTGATACGTATGTGCAATTTGATATGTATCAGCGGCACACACACTCTCTGAGCAGCACTTCAAGACGTACGAAGAAGTGGAAGATCGGGTCTCTGAACGGTCTGCCTCAAAACAAGAAAAGTTCTATGGGGACGGTACCCGCCAATTACCTGAAGGATGGGGAAATGGGTAGCTAGCGATGGACATTGCTTTGAATAAAGCACTTCAGATGTTTCTCTTGAAATTATTGTGTTTTCTTTGATTACAAAATTCGCATTATTAACCGGTAAAGGGTTGATTACTAACCAGGTGCGAGTGGTTAACCCGCATTATTAACCGGTGCACCTAGCACAGGTGTCTCTGCTGAGCCTGTGGGCGGCTCTGGCGTGGCCTACGCAGGTGCCATGTGATAAGGAAGTGGCCCTTGCCCTTTGCTATGCTTTGTACCACCACCACTCGGGGCACCTCCGTTCCCGAACGGAAAGGTTTTGCCAATCAAACCATGTCGCCCCGGCGTTTGGGGTGGGGAGGAGGGAGAAGGGTCACTTCCTGAGGAAACTCTCGCCGATGCCTGTGTCTAACCAAGATTTCTATCCTTGAGTCAAATGTGAGGATGTGCATTTTCCTGGAAAATCACCCTTCCCTAGAGGCCCCAAATGCGTCTCCCCTCAATGCCTTCCCGGTCCGCCCGGAGAGTGTGACCTCATGTCTCCGAACCCCGTTTTCCTCGGCGTCGCCCTGAGGCCGGGGCTCCTCTCCCGTGAGCTGCGAACGGAGAAGCTGGGGGGACGCGTGGCCCCTGCTCGGGGGGCATCGTCCGCGGCCTGCGAGTGGGCGGCGGGGCCGCGCCCGCCCCAAGGTCACCCCGCCCCGGCCCCCCGCCCGGGCGCCCGGCCGCCGCGCGGCGCACTCACCGTGCAGGTGGGCTGGGCCGACTGCTCCGAGGCCACGCGCAGGCCGCTGTCCAGCTGGCTCACCTGCGTCTCGGGCACGCGCTGCAGGGCCTGCGCGAAGGTGGCGGCGCTCCGCAGGCCGGGCGGCAGCAGGGCCGCGTGCTGCGGGGGGCCAGGGTCCGGCATCGCTCCGCGGCCCGGGCCCCCGGCCCCGCCCGCCCGCCCGCCCGCCCCGCGGCCGCCATCGCCGGCCCCGGCCCGCCCTGGGCCGTGACCTTCCCGCGGCCCTGACCCCGCGCCCGCCCCGGTCGCTCCCGCCGCCGCCCACAGCCCACCCCGCCCGCGCCCCGGAGCCCGCGCCGAGCCCCGCGCCCCCGCGGCCGCCTCACCGGCCGGCGTGCGCGCAGCAGCACTCGCGCCCCCGCGCCGGACGCCCGGCAGACCGCCGCCGCCGCCATCTTCCAGTCCTGTCGGCCCGGGCCGCGCCACGCATGCGCGGAGCGACGCGGCGGCGCGCGAGGCGCACGCGCAGTGGCGCCCCGGCGCGCGGGCGCCCCCTGGCGGAAGCCGGGAGGATTCCCTCCGGCCGGTCGCCGCCAGCCACCGCGCCCGGAGAGGGCTCAGCACCAGCCTGCGGCCCGGCCCCGAGGCCTGGGCGGGCGGGCGGAGCACTGCTGCTCGGGGAGGAAGAGCAGTGGCGATGAATGCGTGGGAAGGATTCCTGTTTGGAAAGCAGAATCCCCATTTCCTCCCGAGCCCTGGCTGGCAGCACTCCCTTTTGTTGTATTTTTAGTTTTAAACCCTCACCTGATGTTTGTCATGGATTTAAGAGAGGGGAGGAGAGACCCATGGGTTGCCTCCCTTCTGTGTCCCTGCAACTTGGGTCCGGGCCCTGACGGGGATCAAAGCCCCGGGCCGCGGGGGTGATGCCCCAGCAGACGGCGCCCCCCGGGCTGGGACAGCATCCTCCTGCCCCCGGGGGCAGCGGAGACTCTTCTCCCCCGTGTGGCCGGCAGACCCGGTGGAGGCCGGGCTCCAGATGGCTAGCCAGACTCCAGGCCAGGGAAGGAATGAGCAACCAGACCCACAACAAAGAGTGTAGCAGGACTGTTGGTCATAAAATAGTTCTGTTGCAAGGCTCCACCCCCAGGCAGGCACGTCCTGGTTCCAGTAGCCGCAGGGCAGGACCAACGGACCACACCAGGCACACAGAGACTGCTTAAGCTGAAAGTAACCCCCACCCAGGTGTTGTGAAAACTTTAAATGTCACTGTACTAGTGGGATTTTCTTTGTTAAAACTTTTAGCCAGTCATGATCTGCCAGGCTCCCTGAGACGGGGTAAAAGCGGCGTGCTTCGAGTGGGCCGGGCTCTCGTTGCTCGCTGCTGTGTCAGTTGAGACGGGAGCCGGGACGGGAGTTCGTAATGAAGGCTTCCTGAATTCCAATGTGGCTGAGTGGTGGCGTCATTCGCCGGTCGCCCATAACACTCCCCACATCGCCCGCCCCCGAGAATTTGGCTGAACCCACAGGACACAGACGAACGAGAGAAGACCGGGTTCCGATCCCCCTGCCTGGAACCCCAGAAACATGACCGCCGCCTGGAGCCCGAGGGGTTCGGAGGCAGAGTGAGGCCTGGGTGAGACGTGCTGAGCGGCACCCCACGGGCCCCACGGGGACGCCGGCCGCTCCCTGCCTGGCTCCGGAGCCGGGTCCTCGCGCCTCACGTGTCGAAGCGCCCGCACTCCGGACCCAGCACCGCATGTTCTGCTTCAGTCACGGCCGACACGTGGCCGGGAACCACACACGTGTCCCCTCCCGCTCACGAGGGAGGCCACCCTCCAGCATGGACGCCGCTGGCCGGACGCAGGCCCCGCGGCCCGGCCCAGCCCTCCCCTCCCCTCCCCTCCCCTCCCCTCCCCTCGCCGGAGGCTCGGGTAGGAGGCACCCTCGGCCGCCAGGCTGGCGACGGGGCCGGGCGGGGGTGGGGGGCTGGGGCCGGGCGGGGGTTGGGGGGACGGGGCCGGGCAAGGGTTGGGGGCCAGGGCCGGGCCGGGGGTGGGGGGCCGGGGCCGGGGCCGGGCGGGGGTGGGGGGCCGGGGCCGGGGCCGGGCGGGGGTGGGGGGGCCGGGGCCGGGGCCGGGCAGGGGATGGCGGGCCGGGGCCGGGCGGGGGTGGGGGGCCGGGGCCGGGGCCGGGCGGGGATGGCGGGCCGGGGCCGGGCGGGGGTGGGGGACGGGTCCGGGGCCGGGCGGGGGTGGGGGGCCGGGGCCGGGGCCGGGCGGGGGTGGGGGGACGGGGTCGGGGCCGGGCGGGGATGGCGGGCCGGGGCCGGGCAGGGGTGGGGGACGGGGCCGGGGCCGGGCGGGGATGGCGGGCCGGGGCCGGGCGGGGGTGGGGGGCCGGGGCCGGGGCCGGGCGGGGATGGCGGGCCGGGGCCGGGCGGGGGTGGGGGACGGGGCCGGGGCCGGGCGGGGGTGGGGGGCCGGGGCCGGGGCTGGGTGGGGGTGGCAGGACGCGTGTGTCCCTGGCGGCTGCCCCTGCAGGCATGCCCAGCCAGAGGCCCTGCGTGCGCAGACCTGGATGGGGAGGCCCAGTGGCAGGGCGGAGCCCCTCACCCTCTGAGCTCAGCAAACCGGGCCGCGGGAGGACAAGGGGTGAGAGTGGAATCCTTTAGTTCCTGATCTTAGAGGAAACGCATGAAGCCCGTCACTATCCTAGATAATAAAAGCCTAATATGCTAAGGCCACGCAACTGCTGGCTATGACACGCACAGACCACCAGGGGGCAGTTGACTGTTCAACCACTTGCATTGTGTGCACTGGCCACCAGGGGGCAGGTCGTTTCTTCTCTCCTTATTTCAGCTCACTGGCTTCTGTTTTTGAGTTTGTAACGTTGTTTTCTAAAACGGAGACCCTGGAAGTGCGCAGGCTCAGCAGCTACATGCCAGGCTGCGGGCAGGAGGGCCCCTTTGGGAGGGCCTGCCCTCCCTCCCCTCCGGGGGCCACGCGGGTGCCAGAGCACAGGTGTGAGGCACCACAGGCGCCCTCCCCCAGCTCAGGCCCCGGCCCAGCCAGGAGCCATGGCTGGTCTTCACCTCTGGGCCTCCCTCCCTGGACCACCCAAGTCTCCTCCCACCCCCTGGGGCCTCCGGGGAGCCCCAAAACAGCAGGTGTGTTTGTGGGTGAAACCCTCCAGGGGGAGGGGGCAGTGCAGCAGTGAGCCAGCTGCAGGCTCTCCGCACAGGAGGGGCCGCAGGGAGGATGGACACCCACACGGGTGGCAGTGCCGGCCTGCCCAGCGCCCGCCCCCCCCCCCCCCCCGCGGCCAGCGGAGGCGTGCTCGGGTCACCCGCTCGGGGTGGCAGTGCCGGCCTGCCCAGCGCCCGGCCCCCCCCCTGCAGCCAGCGGAGGCGTGCTCGGGTCACCCACACGGGTGGCAGTGCCGGCCTGCCCAGCGCCCGGCCCCCCCGCCCCCTGCAGCCAGCGGAGGCGTGCTCGGGTCACCCGCTCGGGGTGGCAGTGCCGGCCTGCCCAGCGCCCGCCCCCCCCCTGCAGCCAGCGGAGGCGTGCTCGGGTCACCCGCTCGGGGTGGCAGTGCCCTTTATTGCCCGGGGCTGCTGGGCGGCGAGGCGCTGCAGGTGGCCCTGGATCTGGGCCAGGAGGGCGTCCAGCATGTGCAGGACGGTGAGCAGCAGGGCGTGGTCGGAGGCCGGGGGCCGCCGCTTGGAGGGTCCAGGGGGCTGAGCCATCACCTGCAGGAGCTGAGGGGACGGAGCCCGGTGAGAGCCGAGGCCGCGGCGCTGGGAGGGCAGCCCTGGGCTGGGGCAGGGGCTGGGCTCTGAGGGGGGCAGGGGGGGTCTGTGGGGCCCCTGGGGCTGGATGAGGACCAGGCATTGAGGGAGATGGAGGGGCAGGATCCTGGCCCCGGGGTTGGGTCAGGGACCAACAGGTGTGATATATGTTCCCACCTGTGGGGTGTGGGGGGCCTCAGGGGCCCACAGTGCGGCCGGAGGCGGGTGAGGTCAGGGGTCAGGGGGTAAGGGAGGCGGGCGGAGGAGGCGGGCTCACTGGGTGAGGTCAGGGGTCAAGGAGGAGGGCTCACGGGGGGAGGTCAGGGGGTCAGGGAGGCGGGTGGGGGAGGCGGACTCATTGGGTGAGGTCAGGGGTCAGGGAGGCGGGCTCACCGGGTGAGGTCAGGGGGTAAGGGAGGCGGGTGGGGGAGGCGGGCTCACCGGGTGAGGTCAGGGGTCAGGGAGGCGGGCTCACCGGGTGAGGTCAGGGGGTCAGGGAGGCGGGCGGAGGAGGCGGGCTCACCGGGTGAGGTCAGGGGTCAGGGAGGCGGGCTCACCGGGTGAGGTCAGGGGTCAGGGAGGAGGGCTCACCGGGTGAGGTCAGGGGGTCAGGGAGGCGGGTGGGGGAGGCGGACTCATTGGGTGAGGTCAGGGGTCAGGGAGGCGGGCGGGGGAGGCGGGCTCACCGGGTGAGGTCAGGGGTCAGGGAGGCGGGCTCACCGGGTGAGGTCAGGGGGTCAGGGAGGCGGGCGGAGGAGGCGGGCTCACCGGGTGAGGTCAGGGGTCAGGGAGGAGGGCTCACCGGGTGAGGTCAGGGGGTCAGGGAGGCGGGTGGGGGAGGCGGACTCATTGGGTGAGGTCAGGGGTCAGGGAGGCGGGCTCATTGGGTGAGGTCAGGGGTCAGGGAGGCGGGCTCATTGGGTGAGGTCAGGGGTCAGGGAGGCGGGCTCACGGGGGGAGGTCAGGGGTCAGGGTGGCGGGCTCACGGGGGGAGGTCAGGGGTCAGGGAGGCGGGCTCACCGGGTGAGGTCAGAGGTCAGGGGTCAGGGGCCAGGGGGCGGCGGCGCGGGCCTCACCTCGCTCTGGGTGCCGGGCGCGCCCCGCCGGCGCAGCACCTTGCGGCCCACCACGAGCACCACAGCGCTGGTGAGCGTGACGCCCGCCACCGAGTAGACGGGGTTCGAGCTCAGGCCCAGCCAGTGGCCGGGGCAGCCCAGGCCGACCCCGCAGCCGTCCAGGCTGCTCGGCTGGCACCCCCAGGGCTGCAGGTCCAGCCCCACCTGGTACCACAGCGGCCGGGACCAGGCCAGGGCGGGCGCGGGCGCGGCCAGGGCGAGGAGCCACAGCAGGAGGGACGGCATGGCCACAGCAGTGCCCGCGGAACCCGGCGCCCGGCGACCGGGGCGCGTTCCGGGCGGGTTCCGGGCGGGGCCCCAGGAGAATGGAGGGCGCCGTGCCAGGCTCGGGGCCCAGGACGGGGGCACAGCTCCTCCCCTCCCCACGCCAGCGCGCGCGCGCACACACTCACACTCACTCACACTCACACACACACTCACACACACACTCACACACACACACACTCACACTCACACACACACACACACACACTCACACACACTCACACACACACACTCACACACACTCACACACACACACCACACTCACACACACACTCACACTCACACACACACACACACTCACACACACTCACACACACACACTCACACACACTCACACACACACACACTCACACTCACACACACACTCACACTCACACACACACACACACACGCACACACACACTCACACACACTCACACACTCACACACACTCACACACACACACTCACACACACTCACACACTCACACACACTCACACACACACTCACTCACACACACACACTCACACACACACTCACACACACTCACACACACACTCACACACACACACACACACACTCACACACACACACACACACTCTCACTCACACACACACACACACTCACACACTCTCACACACACACACACTCACTCACACACACACACACTCACACACACACTCACACACACTCACACACACACTCACACACACTCACACACACACACACACACACACACACACCCCGCCCGCCCGCAGTGCATGCTCCGGTGCAGGGCCGTGGCCCAGCGGCTGAGCACCGACTATGGACCAGGTCAGGGTTCAGTTCCCGGTTGGAGCCCGTCTCCAGTGTGAGGCGGCAGGTGGCAGCCGATGGGTGATTCTCTCATCATCCGTGTTTCTCACTCTCTCCCTGGATCAACAAACACATATTAAAACCCAAAACCGTGTGCCCCCCCCGGCCCTGCTGCCCCCTCCGGGCGGGCACTGGCTCCCTCATGACCTTCCCTTCGCCCTCTCCTGACCGTCGCTTCCTTCCTGGCTCTCCTGCGGAGCCCAGCTCCCGGAGCCTGCCCTTCCCTGGGCACGTCCGCCTCACCCGGCCAGTGTTTACCAGGCACGGCCGGGACGCGCGGGCAGCGGGCAGCCGGCCGCCGTGGCGTGGCGGGCGGGAGCGGGAAGCCGAGCCGGCAAGGTGACTGGGCCCGCCCCGCCCCGCCCGCTCCCGGCCTGGCCTCGGAGCTGCCCGGAGGCACAGCCCGCCCGGCTGGGGAGCAGACACCGCCCGGTTCCAGGACCTCCCACTGCCCACCGGCCACGATGGCAGCGTTTTATTTTAACTTAAATATTTTTATTGATTTCAGAGGGAGAAACATCCATGAGCGAATCCTTAATTGGCTGCCTCCACTCGGCATGAGCCCCTGACCGGAATCAAACCTGGGACCCTTCAGTCCCCAGCCTGACGCTGTCCACTGAGCCACACCAGCCGGGGCCGACTGTTTTCCCACACAGATCAGTGCGTGGACTCTTCCTCCTGTGATCACCTGGGCCTTCTCCCGCTCTCACCTCCCTCCCGCTCTCACCTCCCTCCCGGCTCTCACCCCCCTCTCGGCTCTCACCCACCCCCCTCCCGCTCTCACCCCCCTCCCGCCCAGCCCCCTGGGCCGCGGATCCTTCCTGAGATGGCCGATTCCAGCGAGTGGCCCCGGAGGCCCAGCCAGGGCCGCGTGGCTGGAGAACCGCGGCCTGGTGCCCCTGCCCACGGGCCCCCCGCCTCCCGCCCTCTCCACGCGTCCCGGCCTGATCCCGCCAGTCCCCCCTTCGGGCGTCGAAGTCGCCCACCAGCCAGCAGAGCGGGTGTGGGCGAACGAGTCTTTATTCCTGAGGCAGGGCACTCGCCCCGCGGCCGGCCAGGCCCAGCCCCGAGGCAGCTGCGTCCGGAGCCGCCTCGTCCCTGAGTGCGGGAGGGCTCCGGTGAGGGGCGGCCGGCAGCGTGGTCAGAGCTTGGTGACCTAGGGCACCGGGAGGGCGCGGTCAGCACTGAGGGCGCTCCGCCCGCCCGCCCGGCTCCACGTCCGGACAGGAGGGAGGCATGGGAGGCCGACCCGGAGCGGGGCCAGGGAGGGCGGGGGGGGGGGGGGGGGAGCGGAGAGCAGGCGGAGCTGGGGGGGGGGCTGGAGAGGGGGGAGGGACGGGGGGGGGAGCGGAGAGCAGGCGGAGGGGGGGGTAGGGACGGGGGGGGGGAGCGGAGAGCAGGCGGAGGGGGGGGTAGGGCCGGGGGGGAGCGGAGAGCAGGCGGAGGGGGGAGCGGGGGTCGGGGGGGGAGCGGAGAGCAGGCGGAGGGGGGGAGCGGGGTCGGGGGGGAGCGGAGAGCAGGCGGAGGGGGGAGAGCGGAGAGCAGAGCGGAGCTGGGGGGGGGGGCTGGAGAGGGGGGGAGGGACGGGGGGGAGCGAGAGCAGAGAGCGGAGGGGGGAGCGGGGTGACGGGGAGCGGGGCGGGGGGGGGGAGTCAGGGGGGGGGGGGAGCGGAGAGCAGGGCGGAGGGGGAGCGGGGTCGGGGGGGGAGCGGAGAGCAGGCGGAGGGGGGAGCGGGGGTCGGGGGGGAGCCTCAGGGGCCAGGGGGGGGAGGGAGGAGGGGGGGGGGGGGAGGGAGGGGGGGGGGGGGAGGGAGGGGGGGGGGGAGGGAGAGCAGGCGGGGGAGGGGGGAAGCGGGGTCGGGGGGGGGGGAGTCAGGGGGCCGGGGGGGCGGGGGGCGGCGGGGGCGCGGAGCGGGGGGCGGCTCACCAGGACGGGGCTGGCGGGGCCGGAGCGCGGGTGCTGGAGGGCGAAGAGGACGGCGTCGTGGACGGAGGCGAACAGGTGCTGCTTGGAGATGGACGCGTCGAAGAAGCCCCCGGCCTCCAGCTGGGCGACCACGGGCGCTGTGGGCGGGCAGGCGGGCGGGCGGGCGTCCTGACTCCGAGCCCGGGGACCGCAGCGGCTTCCCTCCCCCCTCCCCCCTTCCTCCTCCCCCTCCTCCCTCTCCGTCCCCCTCCGTCCCCTCCTCCCTCTCCCCCTTCCTCCTCCCTCTCCGTCCCCTCTCCCCCCCCTTCCTCCTCCCCCTCCCCCCTTCCTCCCCCCCCCTCCTCCCTCTCCATCCCCCTCCGTCCCCCTCCTCCTCCTTCCCCCCTCCCTCTCCGTCCCCTCTCCCCCCCTTCCTCCTCCCCCTCCTCCCTCTCCGTCCCCCTCCTCTCCCTCCCCCCTTCCTCCTCCCCCTCCTCCCCTCTCCCGTCCCCCTCCCCCCCCTTCCTCCTCCCCCTCCCCCCTTCCTCCTCCCCCTCCTCCCTCTCCATCCCCCTCCGTCCCCTCCTCCTCCTTCCCCCCTCCCCCTCCGTCCCCCTTCCCGGCGGGCAGCGGCCGAGAGCCTGTCACTGGTGACCCTTGACCCCTGCCTTCCCGGAGGCCTCCTTCCCCTGGAGCCCCGCCCTCTTCCCAGACCTCAGGTCCTGCCCACGCACCCTGGCAGCCGGCCAGGTACACCTGCACCTCGACGTCCCGGAAGTCCCGGAAAACCTGCGGGCGGGCGGGAGCGGCTCAGAGCGGGTTCGGGCCGGGGCTGAGCCCCCCGAGGCTGGCCTCCGCCCCGCGCCCCGCCCTCACGTTCTTGAGGCTCTTGATGCACACGGTGTCGGCGAAGGAGAGGGCGCCCAGGTCCAGCACGAGGCTGTGGAAGGCGGGCGGGGCCAGGCCCAGGCCCTGCAGCGAGCCGCTGCCCCAGGCCTGCGCGTCGTCCTGCCCGCCGGCCGCCCCCGCGGGTCCCGGCTCCGGGCTCACCTGCTGGGAGCCAGACACCTTCCAGGCTGCCCGGGGAGGGCGGACACGGCAGGCACGCGGGGACACGGCAGACACGCGGGGACACGGCAGACACGCGGGGACACGGCAGACACGCGGGGACACGCAGACACGAGGGGACACGGGCAGACACGCGGGGACACGGGCAGACACGAGGGGACACGGCAGACACGCGGGGACACGGCAGACACGCGGGGACACGGCAGACACGCGGGGACACGGGCAGACACGAGGGGACACGGCAGACACGCGGGGACACGGCAGACACGCGGGGACACGGGCAGCCGCGGGACAAGCAGGACGCACCCACACGCACAGGGTGTGTGGGGAACACGGACAGGTATGCAGACAGGAGGGACGCTTGCGAAGGGAGGTGCTGGGGGGCGGGGGGCCAGGGGCTGACAGACCCAGACCCCCGCACCCCTGCCCCCCACCTGCGTCTTAAGGGAGCCGGGCGTCCCCTTTGACCCTCGCCTGCCCCCTGGGGCCTGATCGGAGAGGAAGCCACAAGCAGAGCCTACGCCCCGCCCGCCCCGCCCGCCGGGCCCTCCACCGCCCGCCCGCGGCCTCACCGGGGCCTGGGGGCCGTCGGCGTCCTGGCTCTTGATGGCGCCGTCAGGGGTGTGGACGTCGATGGGGATGGAGGTGCCGGTGGAGGCGGCCTGGGCGGGCGGGGAGGCGTCACCCCGGCAGCTGGCGCTGCCCCGGCTCCGGGCAGGAGGGGCAGCCGCGCGGGGAGGTCAGAGGTGGGGAAACCAAGCCCCCCAGAGCGGGGTCAGGGAAGAGGGGGCCGGGCGGGAGCGGGCCGCGGGGTCCCTGCCTGCTGCTGGGGCTTCTCCTTCTGCAGGCGCCGCAGCCTCAGCTCCTGCTTCCGGAGCAGCTTCTTCTTCCGGGAGATGAGGTGGTCCACGTCCACGCCGCACTGGGGGCAAAGGTCGCACGGAGGGCAAAGGTCACACTGGGACAAGGGTCGCACTGGGGCAAAGGTCACACTGGGACAAGGGTCGCACTGGGGCAAAGGCGGGGGGCGGGCGTGCGGCTGACCCGGAGCCGGCCTCACCCTCTGCTTGAGTGCGTCGCTGTAGAGGTCGGCGTTGGCGAAGTACACGGTGGCCGAGGAGCGGAAGACCTTCACGCCCGGGACCTCCCTGGCCTGGGGGGGCACGGGCGCTGAGCCCTCCCGGGGCACCTCCTGCCCCCTCCCCAGCTCCCTGCCTCTGCTCCCCACCCAGCGGCCGTCCCGCCCGGCCCTCTGCCCGGCCCCCGCGGCCCCGCCCCGGCCGCGTCTGTCCTCTGCCGCCCGCCATGGTGACCTTCCCGGCTGCCGCCCACGGGGCCGGGCCAGGGCTCGGCTGGGCTCAGCCT